TCTCTTTTATTTTTATGAATATTTCCATAGTTTATGTTGTGATTTGTTGACAATTTTGGGTTACATTTGAATTTCATTACCGGTTATTACGATTTGCCGATCATTTTGATTGAGAGAGAAATAATTTGATTATTATTAGTTGTAATTTGATTTTCGCAAACAAAACTTATTTATTATTTCAATTTGATATTTATTACAAACATAATATGCTCTGTATATAGAAAATCAACGACAGAATCATACGATAACAACAATAATGATTATTATTATTGATAAAATGGAAAAATAAAAATTGTTTTAACAATTCATGCGATTATGTATTCATTTGATGAGCGATTGTTACGAATTAAACATATTTTGTGTGAACGAGATATACATGTTATGAGATTTTTGTTTGGGCTCTTTGAATGAGTTTGGGCTCTAAAACTGTGGACCAATTGATCTTCAATGATATGATATGAGAGGGATGTTCTTCGCGGTTATAATCGGTCTTTGCGTTCCCTTTCATCGCAATAATAAAACATCAATTAATACATTATAAATATCAACACATTTAATACTTTGCCGATGGAGTGTATCCTGAAGTAGAATATCGACCATTCGGGTGTCTTTATTGACGTGAAGAGCGGATCCGACATTGAAGGGCGAGGCTTCCATCGTGTGGCCATCGCTCGACATCGTTAACATTTTGAACGCCAATAAATCACCGACATTTGGATTCCCTGTCAACGGTTCCAACTCTTCGAATAGAATGGTACTCTTTTTTTCTTCGGGTTTAGTATTGGAAACATTATCATAGTTTTTGCCATTCATGTGATCACTAGAAACAGGTGTCGCGTCTGTATTGCCATTATTGTTGGCTCGTTTGGGAAAAGTCTTTCGAGCGCTTTGTTTGGCATTAGAAGTGAGTGCTTCTAATTCCTGTAATTTCTCTGTAAAGCAATTATTTAATTAAATGCTTATAAAAGTAAGATTTGAGTTCAATTGAATACAAATATAAGACAAACTTTTAATAA